CGGTACCCAAAAACACTGTGAAGGAAAAGCTGGCAAAAGAAAGAAGCCTCAGTGATTCTATAATCCAGCAAATCCATCCAGGTGTGGCTTGACCACAAAGTAGCACTGACGGAAGCAACTGCAGCTCACAGTCTTGCCACTTTTCCCTTGAACTCTGTGATCAACCCAGACAACTATGGAACACTCTTATACACTCTGTACCTGGCTGACTCCACTTATCCTTCAGGTAATACCTTTGGCTTTTTTTTTTTTTTTTTTGTCGGTTGTGGGTCTTGAACTCTGGGCCTGGGTGCTGTCCCTCAGCTCTTCAGCTCAAGGCGAGCACTCTACCACTTGAGCTACAACTCCACTTCTGGTTTTCTGGTATTTAATTGGAGATAAGAATTTCACAGACTTTCCTGCCCAGGCTGGCTTTGAACTGTGATCCTCAGATCCCAGCCTTCTGAGTAGCTAGGATTACAGGCTTGAGCCATCAGCACCTGGTACACCTTTGGCTTTTAGAAGCCTTCCTTGACCTTCCCTCTTTTTAATCCACCATAAATCCACCAACTATTTGCATGTCAGTGATTCCTTTCTGCATTACAAATATGAAGAAAAGAGCCATGTTTACTGTGCTTTCTGATCTAACCCTAATACTTAACCCTGGTCCATTTTAGGCATACAAAAAATCCCACTGAACAGTCTTTCATACCTACAAGAGGCCTAAATCTACCCCAGTGGACCTGAAACAAAGTTGATACAGAAAAAGAGCCTCACATCTGAGCTAAACATACTGTAACAAATTTAGTAGTGAAGGGGCTGGGAAGGTAGCTCAGCGGTAGAGTGCATGCCTTGCAAGCATGAGGCCCTAGGTTCGATTCCTCAGCACCACATAAACAGAAAAAGCCGGAAGTAGCGCTATGGCTCCAGTGGTAGAGCACTGCTTGCAAGCATGAGGCCCTAGGTTCGATTCCTCAGCACCACATAAACAGAAAAAGCCGGAAGTAGCGCTATGGCTCCAGTGGTAGAGCACTAGCCTTGAGCTGAAGACCTGAGGGACAGTGCCCAGACCCAGAGTTCAGGCCCCATGACTGGCAAAAAAAAAAAAAAATTAGTAGTGAAACATCAAAGGTTTTGTGTATGTGTGTGTGTTCTGTGCCAGTACTAAGGGTTGAACTAAGAACTGTTTCTGAGTTTTTTTGCTCAAGGCTAGTGCTCTACCACTTGCACAGCTCTTCTGTTTTGTTTTTGTTTTCTGGTGATGAATTGCAGGTAAGTTTCACATTCTTTCCTGCCTGGGATGGCTTTGAACTATGGTCCTCAGATCTCAGCCTCCTGTGTAACTATGGTTACAGGCGTGAGCCACCACTACCCAACAAAGGTTTGCTTTTCTAAAAGCTTCCCTTATTGACTTCCACTACATTAAGAGGAATCTTTTGTAACTTGGCTTTCTCCTTCCTATTGTCCAGAAAATCCCTGTCTACACAAGCCTGGAAAGGGAACCCATCAACATATTAAAGGCATTCAAACCCAAGAATAGAGAAATCTCATCTTTTAAAAATTATGTGATGGGGGCTGAGAAGGTGGCTCAGTGGTAGAGCGCTTGCCTAGCATGCATAAGGCCCTGGGTTTGATTCCTCAGCACCACATAAGCAGGAAACAAAAAAAAAAATCCAGAAGTGGTGCTGTGGCTCGAGTGGTAGAGCACTAGCCTTGAGCTGAAGAGCTCAGGGACAGCGCCCAGGCTGAGTTCAGGCCCCACTACCAGCAAAATAAAAATTATGTGATGGGGCTGGGAAGGTGGTTTAGTGGTAGAGTGCTTGCCTTGCATGCATGAGGCCCTGGGTTTGATTCCTCAGCACCACATAAGCCGAAAAAAGCCGGAAGTGGTGCTGTAGCTCAAGTGGTAGAGCGCTAGCCTTGAGCTGAAGAGCTGAGGGACAGAACCCAGACCCAGAGTGCAGGCCCTACAACTGGCAAAAAAAAAAAAAAAAAGTGATTTCAGCCGGGCACTGTAATCCTAGCTACTCAGGAGGCTGAGATCTGAGGAATGTGGTTCAAAGCCAGTCCAGACATAAAAGTCTGTGAAATTCATCCCCAAAATAGTACCCCACAAAAAAGGCAGAAATGGAACTCTGGCTCAAGTGGTAGAGTGTAAACTTTGAGCAAAAGAAGCTCAGGAACACGGGGCTGGGAAGGTGGCTCAGTGGTAGCGCGCTTGCCTTGCATGCTCGAGGCCCTAGGTTCGATTCCTCAGCACCACATAAGCAAACAGAAAAAAAGCCGGGTGGTGCTGTGGCTCAAGTGGTAGAGCACTAGCCTTGAGCTGAAGAGCTGAGGGACAGCGCCCAGGCCCAGAGTTCAGGCCCCACGACTGGACCCCCCCTCAAAAAAAGAAGATCAGGAACAGTGCCCAGGCCCTGGGTTCAAGCCCTACGACCAACACACACACACACACACACACACACAACTGTGATTATGGGGGGCTTGTCTAAAATGCACAAGGCTCTACATTTGATCCCCAGTATATGGGGGGAAAAGATGAGATAAATGGGAAATGATACCATTCAGGCTTCTGACCAAATAGGACTTCATAAAAATACTCCATTAAGGGGCTGGGCAGGTGGCTCGGCGGTAGAGTGCTTGCCTTGCATGCATGAGGCCCTGGGTTCAATTCCTCAGCAGTACATAAGCAGAAAAAGCAAGAAGTGGCACTGTGGCTCAAGAGGCAGAACGCTAGACTTGAGTGGAGTTGTTCAGGGACAGCGCCCAGGCCCAGAGTTCAAGCCCCATGACAGTCAAAAAAAAAAAAAATTCCATTAAAATGACTTGGCCCAGATGGTCGCTAGTGGCTCATGCCTATGATCCTAGCTACTCAGGAGGCTGGGATCTGAGGATCACAGTTCAAAGCCAGCCCAGGCAGGAAAGTCTGTGAGATTCATATCTCCAATTAAACACTAGAAAACCAGAAGTATCGCTGTAGCTCAAGTGGTAGAGTGCTCGCTCGCCTTGAGCTGAGGAGCTGAGGGACAGTACCTAGGCCCAGAGTTCAAGCCCCAACGACCAAAAAAAAAAAAGACTTGGCCCAATACTTACCTGCCCAGTCTCATATTTTCCATTCTGTTTTGGCACCTCAAACACACCAACTGTCTCCAACACTTTGCCCTCTGCTCGGTTTCTGATTAGGAAAAAAAAAGAACAAGCAAATTAAAGGCTGAGAAAGTAACAGTTCTCCATCAAAAAAAACAAAAAACTAGTAAAATAATGAGGGGCCAGGGCAATGACAGCGGAGGGCTGAGGCCTGTGGGTATCAAAGGTGAGTGTGGGCTTGGCCAGGCCAGCACACAGAGTTGCTGCCTTTCCTCCTTTGACACCCAACTATGGGCCCCTGCTCTGTGAAGATCTCCCCAGTGTTAGATCTGACTACTCCCAGGTCAATTTCATCTGCCCTCACTCAATATTCCTGTTATCATGCCCACCCCTGTATCCTGTTATCCCATTTCTTGGCTAACTCACCCTTCTGGCCTCCCAGTCTACATTTCAGTTATTTGTGCCTTATCTCCACTGAGACTGTAAGTTCTTTGGGAGCAGTGCTTCTGCCTGATGATTAGCCTGTACTCCCCTCAAAGCAAATGTGCAAGAGATGCTCAAATAACCGTTTTTCTGAGCCAGGCGTTGGGCACATGTTTATCATCCCAGTACTAAGGAGGCTGAGGCAAAAGGATCATGATTTTGAGGCCATCCTGAACTACTAATGAGATCTTGTCTCAAAAAGAGAGAGAGAGAGAGAGAGAAAGAAAGGGAGGGAGGAAGGGAAAAGAAATTTGTCCTGTATCATAATTTGGTGTCCCTCAAAATCGTGGTAGTCCTTAGTTGCCCTTAAGGGCTTAATCATCTCTGAAATCCCAATTATACTCTATGAATTACATCTATTCTATAATAGCTTAGTAATTTTTGTTCCGATTTGCATAAGCTTTCACAGGGGTCTTAAACTGCAAACAGCTTTCAGCTCTCTAATATCATTATGTGGTGTAGCCACTCTAAGGTCAGCTGTCAGTAACATAGGCTAATCTTTCTAGGGGGCCCTCAGATGTGAATTTCATCAACCTCCACAATTTGATCTTTGTCTCCTGGGGTGTAGGGGACCCTCTCCATCCCACAAACCCTCTTTCCCAAATCAGGGAAAAACAGCCTCCACAAGATCACACGGAAACCTAGGACCCACGAGACCCACCACATTCAAGTCGGTTTGTTTTCCAGCATCTTTCTACGGGAGGCCAGGAGCCAATGAGGGGCTGGAGATTCACGCCAAAAAAAAAGCCTCGTGGCTGTATTACAGGGCAGGCTCACTAACAAACAGGGTGCTGGGGATCCCAACCAAGAGGCGCTCCTCGGAGCTAGCCGTGCACAGCCAGAGCTCCGGGCCGCGCTCCCTTCTCCAGTCCTGGCACCAGTCCCGGGCAGCGCACGTCCGTAGCGCGTCACGTCGGCTCCCAGCTCGGGACCCTCTCGACCCCAGGTCGAACTCCGGTCACCCGCGGGCAGCCTGGCCTGCTGGTCGCCTAGCCTCCTGCCCTCCCGGCCTCCTCACTGGCCAGGAACGTGCTCCCCGGGTGCTGGGCCCGGTCCCCAAACCGCGTCGCTCCGTCCCTCACCGGGACGAGAGATGCCTTCGCGTCGTCGCACTCGTCACTGGTTGAAAAGCCCCAGCTCCACCCGCCGCATAGAGCGGCCTCGACCCGCGGGTCGCGGTCAGTGACCGAGACCACCAGCGGCTGCCCACGGCCAGGGCCCGCCGGGCCGCACAGGCTGCCATATCCCGCCCGAGCGCCCGCTCGGCTGCTGACACTGGGCCCGACCCGCGGCCGGGCGGCGTCCCGCCCCCGCCCCACACTGCCCCGCGCCGTGTCTCCGCCCCCTTCTCGTCCCCAGATGGTCCCGCCCCCCCCCATGGGTTCTCAGCTACTTCCGGCGCAGGCGGGCGGAAGTTCGAGTTGGAGAATAATCACCTGATCTGACAGTCGACTGGATATGGCGTCTTCATTGCTTGCCGGCGAGCGACTGGTGCGCGCTCTAGGCCCCGGAGGCGAGCTAGAGTCAGAGCGGCTGCCTCGGAAACTACGGGAAGAGCTTGAGGCCGCGCTGAGGAAAAAGACCGCCGGCGATAATGGTCCCCGCGAGCCCCGACGTTTGGTTTCTTTCCGTCTGATCCGGGATCTGCACCAGCACCTGAGAGAACGGGGTGAGCACGGCTCCAGGCCAGGGGTCCCCTCCTTCCCAGACGTGCTCTTTCCTGATGTCGTTCTCCAGCAGACTCTCCCTCACGTAGCCTACCCAACGGCTTTTCATAAATCCCAAGGCCACTCAGTCGTTTCTCAACTCCATTGGAAACCCTTCCTCGAAGGCAAAAATCACTGCAGGTTGTTCCCTTGAATCTCCACTGCAGGCACACTCAATCTTAGTTAGTCGAGGTTCTAACTCCAGTACCATGTTCCAGGTTCCATGTTTCCCTTTTCCCCAACTCATTCGGAAGTCACTTCGCGTAGTGATCATATGCTGTTTATGAATATGGAAATCTTTCCATCTCAAAAGACAAGAATGGTGAAGTCTGGTGTATGCCTGCTTTCTTCCTTCTTTCCTTTTATTTTTGTTGAGAGGGGCAGTTAGATCTAGGATGACAAGTATTGTTAAAAGATCTGGATTAGGTATAGTATCACATCTAGCCTTGTTTCTGTCACTAACTTTCCTGGAAAAAGTTATTTCTCCTCCCTGGGCTTTAGTTCCTTTATCTATAAAGGACAAACTGGCATCTTAGGTACTTTGCCAGAATTAATATAGTCTAGCCAAAAGTGCAAAATGTATACCTCTCAGGCTGGGAATGTGGCTTAGTGATAGAGTGCTTGCTTAGCATGAATGAAGCCCTGGGTTCGATTCTTCAATACCACATTAACAGAAAAAGCCAGAAGTGGTACTGTGGCTCAAATGGTAGAGTGCTAGCCTTGAGCAAAAGCAGCTCAGGGACAGTGCTTAGGCTCTGAGTTCAAGCCCCTGGACTGGCAAAAAAATAAATACATAAAATAAAAGGTAAACCTCACAACTATTAGAACTAAAGAGGATCTTAGAGAATATCCACACGGTCCTTTTGAGTACTTAGCATCACTGTAACCTAAGCCTAATTAGGGAAGATCTCTTAACAGCCACAGAAATGTACTAGTGTTTTAGTAGGAACAGGCCCTTCTCTGATTTTAGTCTCTCAGCTTGAGCTTTATAGCTTAGTATGTAGAAATCTTTTCTTTCCAGATTCTACACTATACCTTCATGAACTCCTAGAAGGCAGTGAAATCTATCTCCCAGAGATTGTGAAGCCTCCCCGGGTATGTAAGGGATATATTTGTAGGAGTGGAGGGTTTGACATTGAATTTGTTAATCAACTTTTGGGTTGAAATTTTGTCTTTTAAATCTTAAGTATGGGCAGGGGGGGGCAGGGAGGAATAAGAGTTGCCTTCTCTATTTGAAAGCTTTAGGAAACAATCCAAAACTGAGTTTCCAAAGCAATGGAAGTATAATTGGTATGTGGATCTCGTGGCACCCTTAGCAGTACAGTGTATTTGGAAACAGTGTTTATGACATACTTTGTGGCTAGAAATATGTAGGAGAATATCATACTTATGGTTTTTCTACTTTAGAACCCAGAGCTAGTTGCCCGGCTAGAGAAGATTAAGATACAGCTGGCCAATGAGGAATATAAGCGGATCACTCGCAATGTCACCTGTCAGGTAAGGGCCAGCTCTTCAATGCATGAGGCTGAAAACAGGGCCCTGTACTGGAAAAGAGGCACAAAGAGAACAACAACAACATGAGAGCTTGGTTTGTATACTATTTCAGAGCCCTGTGTTGCATACAAACCAAATACAATTATTTTCTCATTTACTGAGACTGAGTATATATGTTGACTACATTCTTAAATATTATAGACATGGACATGAGCCTTGAAGCTTCTTCTCTTTTCTTTTTTGAGACAAAGCATAGCCCAGCCTATATAGCCCAGCCTGGCCCCTGAGCTTGAGGTCCAGATCTTTCTGTCTCAGACTCCCAAGTGCTGGGATGCATGGTGTGTGCCACCACACACAACCCAGGAACTCTTTTCTGACAGGCTTCCATACTATTCTCTAACATGCTTCTACCCCAAAACATGAGAGGAGGTGATAGGTACTAAGAGACTATGACCTCTTCTCTGAAATGTTTGCTATGTGATCCAGAAAAGTCAGGCTGATCTTAGACAAAGGAATCCATGTAGAATGCCAAGTTACTGTGTTAAAGAATAGAAGGTCCAGGCAAGACTTGACACCAGGTGCTCTCTGAGTTGCTTCCATTCTGAATCATGTGCGTTTCCTTTTTCCCAGGATTCACGGCATGGTGGGACTCTCAGTGACCTGGGAAAGCAAGGTGAGGCTCTAGGAAAACAGGCTTCTAAACCCTGGGATTGCTCATGGCATTCTTTCCCTTCCCAATATCATGGGTTTAAGGCTAAACTACTCAGATTTTTGCTCTTGAAAGAGAATCCAGTTGATGGGGGAGGTAGCCATGAGATAAAAGGGCCTCTTGGAGAAGGCTGGACCTAAAAGTTTCTTCCCTGGCTTCTCCCCAAAGTAAGGTCAGTGAAATCTCTGGTTATCACCATCTTCAACTTCATTGTCACGGTAGCAGCTGCCTTCGTCTGCACTTACCTTGGAAGCCAATATATCTTCACAGAAATGGCCTCGGTGAGTAGGTATTGGTAGGGGAAAGTGTCCCAGAAACTAGTGAAAAAGAGAAAATGTGTGAAAGTGCATCTTTACACATTCACAGTTTAAAAATTGAGCGTATGTTTGTGCAATAAATGTCGGACATATTTGAGTTTTACAGGAGTTGTGGAGGTAGGTAGTTATCTCAAGACAAATCAGATCCAAACTTGGGGGAGAGTGGACTGGGTTGAGGAGAAGGTGTCCATCCTCCTTAGGGGTACTGAGGGCTGCAGATCTGGGTGTTGGCCTGTATCACACTAAAGCCTAATTCTCTTCTTCTATAGAGGGTGCTGGCTGCATTGATCGTTGCCTCCGTGGTGGGTCTGGCTGAACTATATGTCATGGTACGAGTAATGGAAGGCGAGTTGGGAGAGCTGTAACTGATGCTTCACTGTCAAGTCTGGAGATGTTTTGGAGGGACCCAGCCTCTCAACTACCAATTACTGAGTCTTGTTCAGCCTGTGAGGCTCTTTGTACTCAGCTCCGGTTGAGAGCAGGTCAGACCACCTGGTATTCTTGTGAAAACTTGTCGAAAGCACTTCTTGAAAACTGGAAGAACTGATTAATTCCTTCTTCTGAACTTCAGTTCTGCCTTCTCTAGTCCATTCTAGAACTTCTGAAACTGGGTTTTTCCATTGGGAGGAAATAGAATTCAGGCCTTCGCAGTACTGCCTTGAATTTGCCCAAGTTCACAGATAATCATCATCCTTCATCCACACATCTTTGGTGCAAGCCTGCAATTGAGAACAGAAGCCTCCAAGAAAGCAGAAAGACTCTCCAGTTTATGCTGGACAAGAACTGATGAAAGGGCAAATATCAAATAAGAGAAAGATGAGTTGGTATAGGATGGTGGAACTAGGAACCAGGCAGCTGTCTTTTTCTGAAAGGAAATGGTATCAGGTAAAACAAATAGAGACCAAATGACCGGCCATGGCTCTTCTTATTAAGTGGGGCCAAAGATTCCCATGTGGTCCAATTTCTCTTGTGATGTTAAACTTCTGAGAACTTGGTGGTGTAATGGTAAAGTCTACATAAGGCATTTGAAGGTGTTTAATAAATATTTATTGTGTGCAGTACATTGTTCAAGTCCTGTGAAAATTAACACAAAGCACAAAGACCAGTAATTCGGAAAGTTGTTCAGGATCTTCTAATAGTAGACTCTTCCTTTTTGTTCACTGCATATGCTCCTTTGTCTTTGTTTTTCTCAAAGCTTTTCTTCCCCTTTTTGGGGGGAAGCAAAGGAGAGTAGAGGGAAGGAGATGAAGGAGGTTACTTGCTTGAACTAAGGGCCTTATGCTCTTGCTTGGCTTTCTTACCCAAGACTAGTGCTCTGCCTCTGAGCAACACCTCCACTTCCAGCTTTTTTGCTGGTTCATTGGTGATAAGAGTCCCATGGACTTTTCTGCCTAAGGTGGCTTTGACCTGCAATCCTTAGATCTCAGCCTCCTGAGTAGCCAGAAGCATAGGTGTGAGCCACCAGTGCCAGCTTCCTCAAAGCATTTGTGGGAGGGAGGGCAGTACTGAGGTTTGAACTCACAGCTTTCCACTTTGTAGGCCAGTGCTCTACTGCTAAGCCACACCTCCAACTCTGTTTTTACAAATGGTATACATTTCCTTCACCAAGCTTGTCAGTTTCTGTTAGTTGGGAGAAGGGTCAGCTGTGGGAAAATGCAGGCGTTCTTGGTAACATTGGGTCAGAAAGCTGTGCTGCTTCTTGTGTCTGCATGCTGCACTAGGTTGCCTATATAAAAGCTTCCACTTCTCCTCATACCTGAATTTAGGTTATAGTGCTTCCCTATAACCTATTTTCCCTATTTTTAAAGAAAAGTATGTGTATCAGAATATCAGATTTTGACCACTCTGGGGTATCTTTTTTTTTTTTTTTTTGGGGTCCGCCTGTGGGGCCTAAACTCTGGGCCTGGGCGCTGTCCCTCAGCTCTTCAGCTCAAGGCTAGCGCTCTACCACTTGAGCCACAGCGCCACTTCCGGCTTTTTTCTTTTCTTTTTTTTTTTTTTTTGCTTATGTGGTGCTGAGGAATCGAACCCAGGGCCTCAGGCATGCAAGGCAAGCGCTCTACCACTGAGCCACCTTCCCAGCCCCACTCTGGGGTATCTTGTAATGGAATTTTGTCATTTTATCTTCGCATTGCCATTGTTAGATGACTCTTCAAAGCTCACCCTAACCCCCACCACACAAGCTAACAGTCTTCTCTAACCAAGCTCTTATAAAGTGCTGTTTTTCTGGGGCCAGGCACTATGGGAATAGAGAAGTCAAAGACCTGGCTCTTAACCTAGAGAACAATGAGGAGACCATTGGGCAAAGAGGCGGGGGGGGGGGGGCTTCTGCAAAGACAAAGATAGGCTTAGGAGTCAGGTGGCTAGTTTTAGAAAACTTTGTCTTGAGCTCTTCCTCTGCCTACCATGCCTCCAATGCAATTCAAGTCCAGAAAGTGCTGAGTAGGCAAACAGGGACATGGCCTCCTATGTGGAGAAACAGAACCAGCATTCATTGCATATGTTTTTGTGTCAGTTGTGGGGCTTGAGCTCAGGGCCTGGGTGCTGCCCCTGAGACTCTGTGCTCAAGTCTAGCACTCTTAACACTTGAGCCACAGTACTACTTCTGGCTTTTGAGTGGTTAATTGGAGATAATAGTCTCATGGGGACTTTTCTGCCCCAGCTGGCTTCAAATAGTGATCCTCAGATCTCAACCTCCTGAGTAGCTAGGATTACAAGTGTGAGCCACTAGCACCTGGCTCATTGTGTTTTTATAATGCGTCACATGCTATGTATGTATAGCCTATCTATATCAATCTCAAAACAGGAGACAAGTGTTGCCTTCCCGCTTTATAGGCATATAGATTTCAGGGAGTTATAGTTGTATAGCAGAGCCAGAGTTTGAGTTCAGTATACAGTAATCACAAACTCCATGTTTTTCTCTCCAAAGCAGGACAGTGGTTCTAGCAGAGACACATCTTTCTAGGGTCTGTCAGTCAGAGCCCTAAACCCTCCAATTAACCATCCCTCTAATCCCTATGGAAGCCTGTGTAATACCTCCCACCAGAGGTCTATGAAACCTGGCCCTATTTAGGGATTAGGTGATGGAGCTAAATTTCCAAGGCAAGCAGCCCTTGACTCCCATTCATTTGCAACACACAACAATCCAGATTAAGGTACAGAGTTTGGTTTTATTTGGAGATTAGTTGGTATTACAAATGACAGTGATACCGAAATCCAATGCTACTGCACCTCTTCCACCCCAGATCTATTAGGTTAGCCCCACATTAGTGGGCAGCCAATCTGATCTGTGGAAATTAAATCAACTTAAGCCCCAGCCTCCTGTTCATATTACTTTAATATCAGTCCCTCTTCAGATACATAGTTCTGATTAATTTGTCCAGGTGGCAGGAGATCAGGAAAGAGGGCCATAAACCATGAAAAAGTGGGTCCCCAACAAACCAGAATAGGAACAGTGATCTCCCCTGGCTCATTAATAGTTAGAGGATAGCCCAAGGACCTGGAGGAGTAGCTGCCCATTTCTCAGAGGTAAGAGACTATCAATTGGGGTGAGAAGATTTGGGGACCAGGCCTAGCTTTCCACCTCATCCCTCTGATGGTATCTTCTGTCAAAATGTAGAGCAAGGGTACTAAGTAGCAGTAACCAGGACCCCAGTCACTGCAGAGACCCTGAATGTGGGGTGAGCTGGAGGCTGGCCAGAAAGAGGAAAGAGGGGTCCCTGAATTAAACTTTCTTCCTATTAGAGAACTCCCTTCTGTAAAAGGATGGGACATGGGTCTACTTCAAGTGGGGTTGGTGGGCTACAAGAACCAGAGCAAGTGTTAGACCTCAATTAGGAGTGGTCCACATTGGCAACAATGGCTGAAGCATAAATAAGATCAGACAGGCTTCCCAGTGAGGTCTGAGGAGTGGCTCGCTCCAAAGAAGGATGGAACCCTGAAACTCCAGCAGGTGCCCATGGGGCTGCAGCTTTAACCCCTGCCCAGCCCTGCCCTGAGCTCAAACTGGAAGCTGCACAGAAGGTCTGTGGACATGCTGAGGTAAACTGAGCCATGCTGGTGTCAAGTGGAGGCTGACCTGTTGTTTGGGGCTTCCAGGCCTGCTGGGAGGTGTCTGGAAGAGAACAGGAGTTTGGGATAGGCTCAGGCCTGGGGCTTAGGCCTTCTGGTTTCCTGTTCTTGATTCTCTTGGCCCGGCGGTTCTGGAACCATACCTGGTAGAAAAGATGAAGGAATCTATTTTTGGCTCTAGCATTTCTCCTTTGGGACAGAAGAAGAAATAAAACTTAAGCAGGATTCCCAGAGAGAATACTGCAGGGCAAGCCCCAAAATAGGCTATATGACCGTATCTTGGGGACAAATGGGTTATATAGCTCACCTGGATCTTGGCCTCTGGCAGATGTGTGACCTGAGCCAGGTGCTCACGGGTGCTGATGTCAGGGTAAGGCCGTGCTGCAAATACCCGCTCGAGTTCCAGCAGCTGCCCAACGCTGAAGGTGGTTCTCTTCCTCCGATGGGGACCCAATCTACTGGCATGGCCTGCAGGCCAGAATGGGTGTCAAACCAGGACTCTCCCCGCAGCCTCAAAGCTTTGAAGAGATCCTTCAGCTCCCATCTCCTACCTTCTTCAACCTTCCTCATCACACTCTGTCTCATCTCCTCACCCAGCCACCCTCTCTGCACCAGATTACCTGAGGATGCCTCCATAGGGCTGGCCATGGAGCTGGTAGAGGGTAAAGAGCCGGAGGGCCATGCCAGGGCTGTGCCCACACCAGACCCATCCCTGTGGGGTTTTATGCTGTTCTGAGAGTCCGGCTCCGCCCACAGAGGGAGAGGCTTAGAGTTCACTCCAGCCAGGCAGACAGGGGTTAGGAGAAGCAGGGTGGGAGCTGATTCAGGTATGAGTGAGGTAAATTTGATGAACCCACCCCACCCTGGCTTCACAAAGGTAGCCAGGCCCAGCCTCTTTAAAACTCAACCTCTGGCAACCTCTGCCTACCTTTTGATAATGTGTGAAAAAAAAAGCCTCCCCAGGTTCCATGTAAGCCATAGCAATCCATCTCTCCAGTGCTCCCAAGCAGCCCAGCTGCTGCTCTGAAATCATGACTGCCTTCAGGGGAAGATGGATGAAATCTTGTCCCTCAAGTGTGGGCTGTGCAGTGAAGGTGGATGGGATGGGAAGGAGCTGGGGTCATCTGCTTTTAGCAGGGCTACTAAACAGGGAACAGATGTCACCACCAGATTGCCTTAAGGCTGTTCTGAAGCTTTGTCTCCACCTAACCCTTTCTGTCTGTCCCAAGAGCCTAGGTAGGCTTCCTAGAGTCCAGGAATCTGGAACCAGTAAATGTCCACAAATGCAATCAGAGCTTAAGGAAAATGTTTTTGTTGAATTGAAACCCTTTTGTACAACTACTTAAAGATAATTTTTATTGGTGGTGGTGGTGGTGGTTGTAGTGCTTGAACTCAGCCTGGGCGCTGTCCCTCAGCTCTTCAGCTCAAGGCAAGCGCTCTACCACTTGAGCCACAGTGCCACTTCCAATTTTCTGGTGGTTTATTGGAGGTAAGAGTCTCACAGACTAAGCCGGGTGCTGGTGGCTCACGCCTGTAATCCTAGCTACTCAGGAGGCTGAGATCTGAGGATCGCGGTTCAAAGCCAGCCCGGGCAGGAGAGACCGTGAGACTCCTATCTCCAATAAACCACCAGAAAACCGGAAGTGGCGCTGTAGCTCAAGTGGTAGAGCGCTCACCTTGAGCTGAAGAGCTGAAGGACAGCGCCCAGGCCCAGAGTTCAAGCCCCATGACCGACAAAAAAAAAAAAAAAAAGAGTCTCACAGACTTTCCTGCCTAGGCTGGCTTTGAACTAGGATCCTCAGATCTCAGGCTCCTGAGTAGCTAGGATTACAGGCGTGAGCCACCAGCACCCAGCTTAAAGATATTTTTTAAAAAGTAGTAAAAGTCAGGTACTGGTGGTTCATGACTATAATCCTAGCTACTCAGGAGCCTGAGATCTGATCCTAGTCTGAAGAAAGTCCATGAGACTCCTTTTTTTTTTTTTTTTGCCAGTGCGGGAGCTTGAACTCAGGGCCTGGACACTGTCCCTGAGCTGCTTTTGCTCAAGGCTAGCACTCTACCACTTGAGCCACAGTGCTGCTTCTGGCTTTTTCTGTTTATGTAGTACTGAGGAATTGAACCCAGGGCTTTATGCATGCTGGGCAAACACTCTATCATGCCACATACCCAGCCCCTCCATGAGACTCATCTCCAATTAACCACCAAAATATTGGGCTGGGCGGATGGCTCAGTGGTAGAGGGGATGGCTCAGTGGTAGAGGCTTGCCTTGCATGCATGAGGCCTTGGGTTCTATTCCTCAGCACCACATAAGCAAAAAGAAAAAAGCTGGAAGTGGCACTGTGGCTCAAGTGGTAGAGCGCTAGCCTTGAGCTGAAGAGCTGAGGGACAGTGCCCAGGCCCAGAGTTCAGGCCCCATGACCGGACCCAAAAAATAATAAATAAATAGATTATATATATATATATATATATATATATATATATATATACACACACACACACACATATATACAGGCTCACCCTAAGGTTGGGTTAGGTGGGGAGCACAGATCCCTCCAGTGCTGAGGAGCTGACTGTATTTTAGATTCAGGATTCAGGATAGACAGAAAAGCTGAGCTAGAGACCTACTACCTCTTGTTCCTTCCTTCTCCCCCTTTCCCCTGACCTCCACCCAAAGACCAGGGGTGAAGCAAGAATGACTGGGGAATGATGTCTTGCTAAGTGTTTGTCATCACCAGAGAGGCCCTAGACCTGTGCAGCTGTGGGTTGATGGGAGCTACTCAGCTCATGAGGAAGAGTAGCTCTCTTGAGGTCCTCCCTAGCCCCCAACTTGCTTGACTCACAGAGAAGGCTTGACCCCATCATGGACCCAATATGATAAGTCTTATCCCTGTTCTTTCCCTCACCTCATCCTGATGGCCCAGCTTCCTTCTTTGCCCAGGCAGGGGTCTGCCCACTCCAGACAGGACAGTAGTCTTAGTTTCAGAACTGAGAGACCTTTATTGAGCAGAGGTTGGAGGAGGAGGCTGGAAAAGAGAGCGATGGGAAGCCTAAATGTGTGGATTCATGTGTGGACTCTTAACTCCTACTCATGGCCAGGGGCTGGGCAGCCCAGCCAGTACTGGGCAATGGAGCGTGGGTATGGAGGATTTACAGTGTCCACTCGCCGGGTGCGAAGATTGACTCGGTAGTACTTGTCTGAAAGAGAGGACAAAGAGAGTGTATGAGCCCCAGTTGGAGATACTCACTCGCTCTGAGAAAGAAGACCTGGGAACATAAGCATCTACAGTGCAGCTGGGGACTCTGGCCTGGTTTTCTGGGCTCATTGTTTACAGGCTGAGTAGCACATAGGGATCAGAGCCATTAGGAAAGGCCAGGCAAGACCAGTGTGGGGGATGGCAAGGGGCTCCCACCTCCTGAGAAGAAGTAGACACTCTGGATGGGCTCACAGGTAGCAGGCACAAGCCAGTTCATATTATAGTCATCATAGTTGTAGGCTCCAAACCCACTCTCCTCACTGGAGAATAAAGACAGCCAGACAGAACGGGATGACCGGCGGGAGCTCTGGCTACGCCCATGGCCTCGGCGAGAACGGTAGCGTTTGCGGCTGCGACGCCTAGACTTTTGCTTTTTAGGCTGGGAGCTGTGGAGCCCTGAGCCCGAGATGTAAATGTGGCCAGCCATGGCAGCATCCACTTTTCCAGGTATACCATGCCAGTCCCGGCTGATGAACTGAGGCTCTTTGACACCACCTGTGTGGCAGGAAAAGGGTTAAAGAAAGGATTTGGGGGAGCCAGGCCCTGCTTTCTCCAGCAGGCTCCTCCCGATCTAGGCATCTTGCCCAAAGCACAGTAAGCTGGTGGCACAGCCCCAGCATTCAGGCCTCAGCCTCCTTGCCCAGTGTTCATTTCCGATTCCTCCCCTCTGCTATATCCCTGATATCTCTATACCCTCCCCCATGCCTCCCCCAGCCATCACCCCTCCCTCTGCTGATTTTGCCTGTGGCTACACTAGACAAAGTCCAAGGTGTGGGGTCCCAGTAGAGTCTAGCCTCCCCCCAAAGGTCAACAGAAGCAAAGTCTGGCCTGAGCAAATAGCTCTTGATCGATAGCTCCACCATCTCAGTCCTCTTGGCAATCCAGCTTCTACCTCTATCTGGAGGTTCCGGACCTCTTAAGGCAGAAGCCTAGTCTCTCCCTTCCTCCATACCAGGGGATCTGCCCCAGAACAGCAGCTCAAAGATGTCCTCCCAGCTGTCCCGCTGCAGCAGGGCGAAGTGCTCAAACACCGTCGACATGGAGCTGCCTTCACACTCCTCCTGGCTGGGCTGATGTTGGAACTCGTACTCCCAGTACTGTTTCCCTGGGAAGCAGGGCAGCTGGCATCAGAAGGGTGTGTTGAAGACTGGAGGAGCCAGAGGCTGAACAAGCTGAGAGCTCCCAGTGCAGGGGGTATGGGTGTCTACTAAAGACTGTCCCCAGGGGAATGTGGGGAAAAAACAAGACCATTTTATACCTGCCCATTGTCCTCTCCCCATCCCCTCCCCCAGTACCTTTGAAGAAGTAGACCCGCTCCCGGCCTCTGTAGCTGTGGGCAGGGAGGGCCAAGGCTGCATCTACATTATCTGGGATGCCGCTGAAGCCTTCAGCAATGTTTCGGGGGTACTCAGGTTCCAGAACACCATCCTCAAAGCGCCAGTACTGACTACCCTAAGAAGCAGAGAAGGTGAAAGGGGTGAGAAGACAGGGGTTAGACACAGAGGCCAGAGGCCTATACCCTAAAGTGACTATCCTCAGCCTCCCCAGAATTGTTACCCACAAGCTGAAGCCTCGGACTGGCTCATCGTCTCCCACCATGACCTCTACCCACACAGCCCCTGGGCCTGGCACCTTGAAAATGTAGGTCTTGCCCTGACAGTTGATTCGCGTGAAGGCAGCATCAATGGGGCCATCAATGCCCCAGACATCTCGGATGAGCTTGGGGTATCCAGGCCTGACTGCTGTTTCATCTAGCTCATAGCAGTACTGCCCTAGGGTGGGGAGAGGATGAAGGTGTGAGGGATAGGATGCTCCCAGACAACCCCCAACCCCAAGACCTGCCCCTGGAGTCACCTCGGAAGGCAAACACAGAACCATTCTTGAGGTCGGTGAAGGCATCGAAGGGCTTCCCACTGCACAGCTCTTCCTCAGCTGTTGGCCATGAGATACCTTGATCAGTGATATCAGACTCTAGAGTCACCTCAGGCCTTGTGGTTTTCACCTCAGGCCTTGTGGTGCTTGTCTCTTGTGGTGCAGAAGTCCCTTCTGGCTGAGGCAGCAGGCTAGGGTTCTCTGGCTGTTCAGGGACACTGGCATTGTCCTTAGGCTCTTCCGTATAATCAAAGTTCCAGTACTCATCTTCAGGCATAGTAAACACATCACCACGAGTCACTGCAGGTAAAGTGAATGGTAGTGAGTCTCTTGGGGCAGATGGGCTCCTACCTCTCCTTACTCCTCCCGCCTTCCCCAACCCATGGCTCCAAACGCACCTTGGGGTTTGCACTCAGTCACGAAGTCAGCACAGCAGCTCTGGTAGTAAGAGCACATTTCATCACACTGACACTTCTTGTTAGCGTTGAAACCCTCTGTGCAGCGCCCTTTGCATGACTCTGAGGAGGGAGAATCTTGTTACAGCCAATTCCAAGTTACCCATACCCATCCTACCATGTTCCAGAGGGTCACCAACACCCTCTCACACCTTGGTCAGCCAGAGCAACCCATGCCAGCAGGGACAGCATAAGAAAGGGCCTCAGGATTGCCATGGTAGGCCTCTAGCTGAGGGCCTGTCCAGCTGGGCTCTGAGCTCCCTGAGACTCTGTTCTGCTGCCAGGGGAAGAGAGAGAGAACTAGGCAAAGAGGGAGGGAACTGGAAAAGAGGAACTGCCCATTCTCTTGCTCTGTTTGCTCAGCCTGCAGCCCAACCCCCAGTTTCCCAACTCCAAAAGGCTGCTGCAGCAAAGGGTCACATTCCCAGAGTCCTGGGCCTGAGAGAGCTGGGAAATAGAAACCTTGCCAAACTCAGAGTCATCAGGCCATCAGGATGAGGAGTAGCCTGGCAAGTCTGCAAGGCCGAAAGAAGAAGTTTCATGAGGTCACTCATTGGGCAAACTGCTTTATCTCTCTAAGCCTAAGGTTTTTTTTTTCTGTTCTTTTCATCTCCTCCTCCTCCTCCTCCTCCTCCTCCTCCTCCTCTTCTTCCTCTTCCCCTTCTTCCTTCTCCTCCTCTTCTTTTTTCTGCTAGTAGTGGGGCTAGATCTCAGGATTGGGAGCATCTAGTGACTAATCTAAGGGTGCTGTCCCTTAGCTTTTTGCACTCCAGGCTGGCATTCTACTACTTGAGTCATACCTCCACTTCCAGCTTTTTGATGATTGAGAGTCTCATGAACTTTGCCGTCTAGGCTGGATTTGAACCGCGCTCCTCAGATCTTGACCTGAGTAGCTAGGATTACAGGCATGAGCAATTGGCATCTGACCTAAGTTTTCTTTTTTTTAAATTTATTATAAAGGTGATGTACAGAGGCTATAGTTACACAAGTCAGGTAATAAGTACATTTCTACTTGGACAATGTCACCTCTTCCCTCACTCCTAAATTTTCTTTTAAGTAAAATGAAACAAATGATATCTTGTTTCATTAGTGTTAGGAGATTACATGGACTAGAACAGACAAAATGCCCTGTGCTTGGAGAAGATCCAAGTTCATTCTCATAAATGGTTTTTGATTCATGATTCATTTGAGCAAGCACGACCCTGGCTGGGTGCTCATCCACCCATTGTATATTTAGGAATATGAAAGGGAAGTGGGAAGAAATTGGATAAGTACTCTGGGAAAAGTCTCCTTTTCTTTCTTTCTTTCTTTTCTTTTCTTTTTTTTTTTTTTGTCGGTCATGGGGCCTGAACTCTGGGCCTGGTCCCTGTCCCTCAGCTTTTCAGCTCAAGGCTAGTGCTCTACCACTTGAGCCACAGTGACACTTCCGGCTTTTCCTGCTTATGTGGTACTGAGGAATCGAACCCGTGCATACAAGGCAAACACTCTACCACTGAGCCACCGTCCCAGCCCCAAAAGTTTCCTTTATTTATCATAAAAAAACAAAGTTCAGGCCGGGCGCTGGAGGCTCACGCCTGTAATCCTAGCTACTCAGGAGGCTGAGATCTGAGGATCGTGGTTCAAAGCCAGCCCTGGCAGGAGAGACCGTGAGGCTCCTATCTCCAATAAACCACCAGAAAACCGGAGGTGGCGCTGTAGCTCAAGTGGTAGAGCGCTTGCCTTGAGCTGAAGAGCTGAGGGACAGCACCCAGGCTCAGAGTTCAAGCCCTACAACCGCCAAAAAAAAAAGTTCATTTCTAGCTTCTTCTTATTGGTACATCAATCTCTCCAAGCTGATCTTCAAGCTGGCCTAGGAAATAGTAAATATGAACCCATTTAACCAGATTTGAGTCTTGAGTCACTAATCTACTGATGCTGTATAAACTGTCTCTTGTAGCAGCCCTCAGTCACTCTATCTGTAGAATGGGCTCGTTCAGCACAGGTTAGACTCTCATGAGGTATGTATAATCTCTCTACTCCTACTGGCACAGAATATCCAGCCACGAGACTTCATCACAGAAGCCTGTTCATCACAGAGTTTTTAGCTGGCATTTTCTGTTCTGTAATCAGAGGAGGGAGTGTGTAAGTCTGGCCAATCTCTTCTCTATGAGACACACGCATAAAGGGGCCTTTAGAAATGTTAGGGAGCCAGGCATATGTAATCCTAGCTACTGAGATCTGAGGATTACAGTTCAAAGCCAGCCTGGACAGGAAAGTCTGTGAGATTATCTATAATTAATCAGCAAGAAGCTGAAAGTTGGAAATGGTGCAGTGACTCAGAGTGATAGAGTGCTAGTTTTGAGTGAAAAAGCTCAGGGAGAGTGTCCAGGCCCTTCCTGAGTTCAAACCCCCCCACCAAAAAACAAAACCCACTAATTTCTTGGGGCAGGCAATGTGGCTTGGTGGTAGAGTGTTGCCTAGCATGCAGGAAATCCTGAGTTCAGTTCCTCAGTACCACATAAACAGAAAAATCCAGAAGTGACTCTGGCTCAAGAGGAAGAGTCCTAGCCTTGAGCAAAAAGAAGCTCAGGGACAGTGCCCAGGCCCTGAGTTCAAGCCCCAGGTTTGGCAAAAAAAAAAAAAAAAAGTGGAGCTGTGGATCAAGTACAGTGCTAACCTAAAAAAAGGAAAAGAAAAAGAAAAGAAAGCTCAATGATAGTGCTCAGTCCCTGAGTTCAAGCCCTAGGACCAGCACACACACACACACACACACACAGAGTTGTTGTTGGGGGTGGGGGGAGTTGTTAGGGAACTTTGCGATTGCTTTAATCACTGGGAGGGAGGGGTACACTCGGTGGCGCTGCTTCCCACCTCTCAAGTCAGGGCAACGGATATGACTTAAGGGGAGGAGGGAGTGTGGGCGTGGATGAAGAAGGCCTGGGGGCGGGGCTTCCTAGGCAGAGGGGGCGGGGCCTCCGTGACCTAGAGGCGGGGCTTCGCCTGTAGTCTCAACAGCCCGGGGTCCGGGGCGTGGCTGGCGCAGAGCATCTCAGCTTGCGGGAGCTGGAGCTGAAGTGCCGCTTTGTTCCATCAGCTGCTTGCTCTACCTTTCGGCATCCGGATCCTCCTTCGCTTTCCCACTCTCTCCTTCGCCCATTCCCCGAGAAGTGGTTTTCATCCCCTTCTCCGATTGCTGCTCCGCAAAGCCTGACCTCACCCCTGCCTCCCCAAAGTCCAGCGGGGCACCCTTGCCCGGAATCCTTTTCTCCCCTAGCCCTTCTTACCTCCTTCATCTCCCTTTCTCAAGGTCTGGGTTGCTCTCCGGGCCCCGATCTTCCCCCCCCCCGCCCCCCGTCGCCCCCCAAGGCCAGGAATGTCCCCTGCCAGCCCGCGCCCATGGTCCTGACGCTGCTCCTCTCCGCCTACAAGCTGTGCCGCTTCTTCGCCATGTCCGGCCCACGACCCAGCGCCGAGCGGCTGGTGGTGCCGGGGACCGATCAGGGTGGCGGCGCGGGCCCGTGGTGGGCTTCGGGCGGCCGCGGGTCCCGCGAGGTGTCGCCTGGGGTGGGCGCTGAGGTGCAGGGCGCCCTGGAGCGTGCCCTGCCTGAGTTGCAGCAGGCGCTGTCGGCGCTGAAGCAGGCAGGGGCCGCGCGGGCTGTGGGCGCGGGCCTAGCCGAGGTCTTCCAGCTGGTGGAGGAGGCCTGGCTGCTCCCAGCCGTGGGCCGCGAGGTGGCCCAAGGTCTGTGCGATGCCATCCGCCTAGATGGCGGTCTGGACCTGCTGTTGCGGCTGCTGCAGGCGCCGGAGCTGGAGACGCGTGTGCAGGCTGCGCGGCTGCTGGAGCAGATCCTGGTAGCTGAGAACCGGTGAGGGCGCGAGACTCGTGGAGGGGGAAAGCAAGGCGAGGTGAGGGGCGGCTGGGGGGGGGGTCGGGGTCAGGTGCCTGGGTCTTCCACCTGCCTCGCTTCATCTACTAATCTATTAATCTACTCCACACTACACCTCATCTAATAGGAATTAGTGTGTCCGTTTTACAAATGGGGAAAGTGAGGCTTGGGAAAGTCTAATGAGTAATCCAGAAGGAACTAATGATGTAGTGAGGATTTATTTTCAGGATGAGTGGGGTAAGGAATGGAAACAGAGGAGAATACTGTTGTAGGGCTAGAGTGTCCCCCCCTCCTCCTCTTCCTCCTCTTCTTTCCTTCCTTCCTTCCTTCCTATGTACACCCTACTGTGGTTTGAACTCAGGGCCTGGGTGCTGTCCCTTAGCATTTTCTCTCAAGGCTGGCACTCTATGATTTGAGGTACAGCCCCACTTGGAGATAAAAGTCTCACCGATTTTTCTGCTTGGGCTGACTTTGGACTGGGATCCTCAGATTTCAGCCTCCAGAGTAGCTACGACTACAGGTTTAGGAACCTATCTTTAGTTCCATGGATGGAGATGGCATCTTAGTACCAATGCCAACCCATAGCTCTGGGCCTCTGTCTGGGTGCCCTTCTTTGCTTACCCTTGCTCCAAACAGAAATGATCTCATTCTGAAGCTGCTGATCTGGAATAGAAAGTTCCCTGCCTGAGTGAATGGGTGGAGGTGGAAGAAACTGAAGTGCAAACTGGGCAGGGGTCAGAGCATGTGTTTTCACCCCTTCCCTACACTAACTACCAACATATAGGAGTGGAGTCAAAACAAGCCTTGAAATTTCACTTTTCCTTTGTGATGCCAGAGCACTCCCGTCTGTAGCAGAATGCTCAGACTTCTTGGGCTTAGGAGAGTTTTGGGAGTCACTAGCTCATGCATCGCTCACAGGTGTGATGGCAGTGGAGGAGTGTTTTCCTTGCCATTTTCCAAAAAGGAAAAAAAAATCCTCTGTGATTGGTGGAAATAAGGCAACTGTCAAAATATAGCATAAATAAAGCAACTTAGGTTGGGTGACCAAGATAAGGTTCTGCTTGTTTAGCAAGTCACTAGCTTCCCACGGATCAGTGTCCTAAGGGGGATGGACCATGAATTTAGAGGACTTGCACGTGGCAATGGGTGTTCCAAGGGTGTGGTGGGCCACGGACCGTATGTGTGCCTTCCTAAGTGGTTCATAGCAGTTATAACTAGAATCTCTGGGAAGTGAGTACAGCTAGTGCCCTAGGATTAGCAAGGGTGCAAGATGCTGTAGTGTGTGTGTGTGTGTGTGTGTGTGTGTGTGTGTACAGCTCTTGGGGTTTGAACTCAGGACCTGTGTGCTGTCCCTGAGCTTTTTTGATCACAGCTAGTGTTTTCCACTTAAGCACAGCTCCACTTCTGGCTTTTTTCCCTTTTCTTATTTCTTTTTTTTTTCATTTTTATTACTATATCTTTAAGTAGTTGTACAAAGAAGTTCCTATTCTACAAAACAGTATATGAGCAAAGGTGTCTGACAACATTATCACACATTGTTCCTAACCCACCCCTTCTTTCACTTTTTTTAAAAATTGAGATTAGGTGATTACATAAATTTCACACATTTCATAGTATTGTGGAATTGTGATACGTAGTTAAAGTCACAAACATATTTTAACCTTCACAAGGCAAATTGTCATTATGTTCTATAAAGTTTGTGAATTCTATGAGCTTTGACAATACAAATTATTTCTTCCACGTCAGGTGATGATTACATTTCTTTCCTTTTGCTTAGTGTAAGCTGTTCCCTCTTTCCCTTTCATTTTTCCCTTCCCATCACTGTCTTTGGGTTGCTTAGTTCTTTTTCTTCTATGTCCAGCAGCTGATGGGCCACTTTGTTGTATGTTGTTGTTTCATTTCCCACTTTCTCTCTCTCTCTCTCTCTCTATATATATATATATATATATATATACACAGATCTTGGGGCTTGAACTCAGGACCTGGGTGCTGTCCCTGAGCTTTTTTGATCAAAGCTCGTGTTTTACCACTTGAGCACAGCTCCACTTCTGGCCTTTTTTCCTTTTCTTATTTCTTCTCTCTCTCTCTCTCCCTCTCTCCCCTCCCCCCCTCACCCACCACTGTGCGCATTTAATTAGCGATAAGAGTCTCACAGCTGGCTTTGAATCATGATTAGGATTAGGTTAGGATTGCACGTGTGAACCTCCAGTGCCTAGAAAACTCATATGTTTAAGGTTGAAAATGATGGTCCTCAGCCGGGCGCTGGTGGCTCACGCCTGTAATCCTAGCTACTCAGGAGGCTGAGATCTGAGGATCGCTGTTCAAAGCCAGCCCGGGCAGAAAAGACCGTGAGACTCCTATCTCCAATAAACCACCAGAAAACCGGAAGTGGTGCTGTAGCTCAAGTGGTAGAG